TCACCATCTCAGCAGAGCAGGACACCTCTTGCAATGTGTTAACCCATTCTCTTGGATTGACACAGTTTTCACACGCTTTTGCAAAACAGTTGATGCAGATGTCATTCAAGAAGGCCAAACACAGTTTTAGCTGTGGTTACAGAACAGAAACCATATGCTCCAAGCTCTTAGAAATTCCCTGATCAGTATGTAATCACTGAAAGCAGCTGTTTGACACTTCTCAGAATTTTTCAATTTGCAATCAGTCTGCAAGCCTGTGTTGTTCTCTTATACTCTTATAGTGTAGGCCTAGATTTTTGTTCTTTACTGTAAAAAAAACTGTGTTTTTTATTTACCTAATTTCTCACACAGTAAAAGATTTTATTTTTATTTCCATGTATTCTCTGTTGGAATATTTCATTTGTCAGGCACAGTCTGAAAAAAAGAATGTAATCAATACAATTTGCATCAAAACATATTTGCTTCTGGATGCATTTTTTTTTTTTTTTGCAAGAGGGCAAATTTGACTACAAACAGCACTGGCATGTAAATTGCATAAGTCATAGGCTACAATGACAAGCAATGGTGCACTGATTCACACTTGAGTGCTGTATCTTGTATTTTGTTGCCCATTGTGTAATGATTGATTGCAGGTGTTCATTCATTGTATCAAAGTTGAGTTGTTTGAAGGCAAAGTTTGCTTTTGTTCCATATTTTAAATGTTTTGACACAGTTGTTGCCTTTTGCAAACAAAATGTGTCATTTTGACCACTGTGYCAATGTYTAGGCCTCTCCATTAACTGTTTTGAAAATRTGGATTTTGATTTGACGGCTGTGTAAAAAAAAAATCAATAAAAACTTTAATTTGCAACTTGTCTAAGGTGTACCATGCCTCTCAGTCTTTGGTGGACATWAGCACCTGCAATCCAAAAAGGCAAAAATTGGTAAAGATGATGGAAGTGATGGATTCTGTTTTAATTCAGTTGGGAAAAGTAGCAAGATTGGATGGGACTAAACCCAATAACTTTTTCTGAACAGAATAAGATTTTTGGTTGATTTGAAGCACCTAAACTGAGCTGAAAAAAAAAAATCCAAACAGTAGATCAACCTGTCACTGAAATAAATCTTTGAAGTTACTTCCTTCGTCAAAACAAGAGTCAAATAATATTAACGAAACCAGATTTCTATTTCCAGAAATGTCAGTTTAAACTTTCCCATCAGATTCCTCTTGCAACACTTTGTCTCACAGTTTTGACAACACTGCATGAAAATCCTGTTGCATAGTGTTCACATTAATCATCAGTAAGACTTTCAGTGTTTCTACATCAACTGATTGTTTATTTCTGCATTTCGCAAGATGTCAGTTATAATATTCAGGTTTATCAGCTGCTCTCAAACAAAACACTTCTGTTGTTTCGTACATCCTTTTGTGTTTGTACTTTCTTAGAAAAGGTGACCACATTTTAATAATCAGTCTGTTTAGTCAGTGTATCTTTTGATCATTGGATTTTCCTTTTAGAAACGGGTATTGAAAAAATGAAATGAGTGGCTATTTGATTTTTGCTTTAAAAAAGAGAGATTCAAATTAAATTACAAAATATTTCCCTTTCAAAAAGGGTAAAATTAGAGTAAATTTTAAAAAAATGATTTGTGTTTCATTTTCTATTTTGGAAAACAAAAAAGAAAATGACTTTGAAACAGAAAAGAAAAAAAGGCTTGTTTGTTCCAATTCCACAAAAGCTCTTGTCAAATTACGGTATCCTTAAAACCATATGGATCCAGATCCAGAAAATATGTGTGAAAAATTCAACAGTTCAGGTAAGACACTTGTTTTGATGTCCAAAAATCAGTTATCTTGAATGTCAATGTGATGCTTAACATCAAATTAAAAAAGTAACTCATTTGTAAATCATGCATCATATCATACATGTCAAGTTTTACATATTGTCCGTAATTTTCCCTCAATTTCCATATATACAGAAGTACAGGGCAATAAGATTTTTTTCAAAAACTTTCCTTCAGTTTAATCCGTCTTCACTTTAATACGTCAGAGCTGGCAGAATGTAAGGAAATATTTGTGCCACCTCCTCCTCACCTCACTTCATTACACTGCGGAAGTCGTTTTCTGCACCCTGTCCTCTCTCCACGGCACACAGTCCACTTGCCATATGTGATGATCAAACCAAACTTTAGAAATTATTTTTGTATAACAAGTTCATGTTAAAACTTGAACTTACATTAATATAAAAAACAACTGTGAGATGAATCCACTATGCTTACAGTAAGCTAAAATAAATCAAAGAAAGCGACTCCTGATCATTTAACTGGAGGTTTATTGGTTTTACACACACACACGCACACACACACACACACACACACAAAATGAAAACCAAAACCCACAGTTTGTAATACACTCTGTTTTTACTGTAAAATGTAGAAATATCAAAACACCTTTTTACCGTTGTTTGACAAATGGGCATCTCAAAGAAAGATAAGCAATATATATTGACATTTTAATCAACATGTCTGTAATGAAAAAATAAAAGAAGAACACGCTGAAACGTATGCAGCTCAGATGATGTTAGGAAGAAAATGGATTGATCACAGCTGTAACCACATCTGTTCAGACAGCACTTCTTCCAATTGCTGCATTCACCAGCATTATCATCATGTCAGTGAGGGATGAACAGAAGCTGTCCACAAAGTAAGGCTAAACTGAAAAGCAAAAACAACAACAACAACGACAACGATGACGACAACAATAATATTGATAATAAT